CTTTATCTATTCCATTAGAGTAGTTTTACTGGAGACAAATTCTTTTAGTTTTCCTTTATCTAAGAGTGTCTTGAATTCTGATTGATTACTGAAGCACTTTCTGGATCATTCCTGAAGGACCTTTTTTTCCCATTTATGATTCTGGGTTAACCATTATTTTCTATAAACACCTGAAAAATATTGTGCAACTTCCTTTTGGGCTTTATGGGTTCTGTTCCACTTTTTTTTTGTTTGTTTGTTTGTGTATATGTTATTTGTTCCTCTCTGTTTCTCTCTCTCTCTCTTTTTTTTTTTTTTTTTTTTAAATTTAAGTATAGTTGACACAATGTTTCTTTAGTTCCAGGGGTACGACATAGTGATTTTGACAAGTTTATGCATTATGCTGTATCACCACAAGTGTAGCTACCATCTGTCCCCATACATTGCTGTTACAGTATCATTGACTGTATTCCTTATGCTGTGCTTTGTATTCCTGTGATTTACTCATTCCATAACTGGAAGCATGTATCTTCCACTCCCCACAATAAAATGGGTAAACCATTTTGCTTACTCTCCCACCTCCCTCCCCTCTGTAAGCCATCAGTTCTCTGTATTTTTAGGTCTGACATGGCTTTTTGCTTGTTTATTTATTTTTTTAAGATTCCACTTTGTCTTTCTTAGTCTGACTTATTTCACTTAGCATAATGCTCTCTAGGTTTATGCATGTTGTCTCAAATTATGCAATATCATCAAACAAAACACTAATACAAAAAGATACGTGCATCCCTTTGTTTGTTGCAGTTATTTACATTAGCCAAGGTGTGGAAACAACCTAAGTGCCCATCAATAGATGAATGGATAAAGATGTGGGGGTGTGTGTGTGTGTGTGTGCACACGCATACACGTGTGTATGTGTGTGTACACAGGAATATTATGAAACCATAGGAAAGATGAAATGTCTCATTTTTTATATTTCTTTTGCTTTATTTTCAGGTTTATTAATCTTTTATTCAGTACCTCGTCTGTTAATCCTATCCATTATGTCATTCATCTCAGATATTGAACTTTTTCATTCTTAGAAATTTGAGTTGGGGGACGCTTGGGTGGCTCAGTTGGTTAAGCCGCTGCCTTAGGCTCAGGTCATGATCAGGATCCTGGGATCAAGTCCCACATCGGGCTCCTTGTTCAGCAGGAAGCCTGCTTCCTTCTCTGCCTCTGCCTGCCACTCTGCCTGCTTGTGCACTCTCTCTCTCTCTCTCTCTCTCACACACACACACACACACACAAATAAATAAATACAATATTAAAAAAAATTTTTTTTTGAGTTTGATCTTTTTACTGTCTTCCATCTTTTTTCTTAACATACTCATCTGCTTTTTTTTCTTTTAGATTTTATTTTATTTTATTTTAAATAATCTGTACACCCATTGTGGGGCTTGAACTCATGACCCTGAGGTCAGGAGTCACATAGTCACTGACCTAGCCAGCTGATGTCCCCCTTATCTACTGTCTTCAAATATAGAACATAGTTATAAACATTTTATATTCTTGTCTACTAATTCTATCATCTGTATCAATTCTGAGTTGGTTTTTATTGATTGATCCATAATAGTTTACTGCTTTTTTACATGCCTATTTATGTTTGTTTGGCTATCAGACATTGTGAATTAGACCGTGATGGGTGCTGGGTATTTTTTATTCCCTTAAGCGTGTTCTTGAGCTTTGTTCTTGACTGCACTTAATTTACTTGTCAATAGTTTGATCTTCTTGCCTTTGTGAGATTGGGTCAGAGTAGTCTGTAGACTAAGACTAATTTGGTCCTACTACTGAGACAGTACTCCTTGAGTTCTCTTATCTGATGCCTTGTGTATTATAGTTTTTTCATTCTGGCTGGTGGGCACTGAAACGAGCTGCGAGGGTTCTTTCCTATGGCTCCTTCCCCAGCCTCAGGTAGTTGTTCACATGCACTTGCTGTTAACTACTTCGCCAAATACTCAAGGAGAGTCCTGCTACAGACCTCTGGAGCTTCCTGTTCGCACAGCTTTCCTTTCTTCAGTATTCTGCTCTGTAAATTTTAGCTGAATTGAGGCTCTCGGACTCCTACCTCATCTCTTCAACTCAGAAAATTGCTGGACTCTACCTAAATTCTCCCTCCCTGCACTGTAGTCTGGAAGGTAGCTCATCATGTTTGTTTTGCCTTCACAGTGATCACTGCCCTGTGTTGCTTGTTTAATGCTATCAAAAATTATTTTTTTCATATATTTCGTGTAGTTTTTTAGTTGTCTAAGATGGGGAGGGTAAGTCCAGTCTGTTATTTCATCTTGGCTCATAATGGAAGTTTCTTGGAGATAGACAATAAACAAGTAAAATTTAAACATATCAAGTGGCCAAAAATTCTATGGGGGAACCTGAAGCAAGGAAGGGCGATGTAAATTATCAAGAGGATTGTAATTTTAAAAGAATGATGTGAAACAGACCAAATTAAGAAATGGACTGTTCTGATTATCATCTGCTGTATAACAGTCTGCTCCCAAACTTAGTGACTTTTGCTCAAGAATATGCAAGTTAGGAAAGGCTAGGCTGGGACTGCTCATTTCCGCTCAGTTAGGCGTCACTTGGGCAGCTAAAAGGTTGGGGACTGGAATCATCTGAATGTTTTGTCACATGTATGGTGGTTCATGCTGGTTGCCAGCTGGGATCTCATTTGGGCTGTGGCTAGAACATCTACACATGAATTTCCTATGTGGCTGCTTGGCTGCCACACAGCATTGTGGCCATGTTCCAAGGGCAAGCATCTGATAGAGAGCCAGGAAGAAGCTGTGTTCCCCTTTCTACCCTGGTCTTGAAAGTCATGTTGTATATCGCAGGAGGTCACTAAGACTGACCCATAGTTAAGGGGACTGGAATTAGACTCCTGTTCTTGCTGGGAGGCATGTCAAAGAATCTGTAGACATACTTTGAAGCCATTGCAATGATACTTGAACAAAGGAAGTAAGGACATCCAGAGGAAGAACATTCTGGGTAGAATGGACAGAAATGCAAAGACTCTGAGGTTGGTGGATACCTGATGGCTTAGATTTGTTTATGATTGAGTTCCCACTGTAAAATGGCAGCTCCCTGAGGGCAAGGGCTTTGTTTACTGCTATTTTCTGAGCAACTAGTTGGTTGACAGATAGTTGCAGTTCAGTTCTTATTTGTGGAAGAGATAGCCTTTTGGGACCATGTATTAAAAATCCTAAAAATGAGTATATAACCTTTGATCTAGTAATTCTTTGGGAAATTATCCTTAGGAAGAAAATTCTATGCTAAGCAAAGATGTAGTAAAAATTTGAAGGTGTCTAAATGCCCATTAATAACCGGTCAGTTAAATGAATTATGGTTTTCTATATAATGGAATGCTACATAGAAAGTAAAAACTAAACATTTCATTTAAAAGTAAAAACACTTTCAGAGCAGAATTCAAATGATGGTGTACAGAGTGATCTTATTTGGTTAATAATTAACAGTCTCCCTAATAAATACATGCACAGAATGGAGAGAGATCTGGTAGGATGTATATCAAATTGTTAATAATTGCTGTAGGGGTTATTTTAGAGTTGCTTGTTAAAAGTTATGTACTGCTATAATAAAAGAAATATATTTCTTTTTTCTTTTAAGAGAGGGGTTTTGTTGTTGTTGTTGTTGTTGTTGTTTTGACAGAGAGAGATCACAAGTAGGCAAAGAGGCAGGCAGAGAGAGGGGGGGAAGCAGATTCTCTGCTGAGCAGAGAGCCAGATGTGGGGCTGGATCCCAGGACCTTGAGATCATAACCTGAGCCGAAGGCAGGGGCTTAACCCACTGAGCTACCCAGGCACCCCCAAAGAAATATATTTCTATTGTAAAAGCAAATAGTGGAAATTTTTTTTTATAAATAATAGTATCCAAGTTACTGTGAGTAATAAAAACCTTTTAAAATAATACATTGGTCTGTCTTTTTATTAATTAAGGTGAGGGAAAATGAGATTTGTACAGGAAAAAGTATGAAATGATGTAAAACCAAGATTTTTCAGAGATTATCTCTTGATTATAGGTTATGTTTATTTCCTTTTGCATATTTCTGTATTTCCTCAATCGGAAAAATAAGCTCGTCTCATAATATGGAAAATATTTACATTAAGAAAATAGCTGTAGGTAATAGTGTTAAGCAGCCTTACTTGAAGATTATTAATCATGTGGAAAATTCCAAATTTACAAACCAGCTAAATCAGGGATCTCAAGATTTCCCCGCAAAATTCCTTTAATGGACTCTAAATATTATGTGACTTAGGAAGAGAAAGACAAATACTGTCTGATCTCACTTACTTGTGGAATCTAAAAAGAAAAAAAGAGCTCATGGAAACAAACTGTTGTTTGCCAGAGGAAGAGGGTAGAGGAAATAGGTGAAGGTGGTCAAAATGCATAGACTCCCAGATGTAAGATAAGTAAGTCCTGGGTATGTCATGGGCAGCGCGGTGACTGTAGTAGGTACTGCACTATGTATTCGAAAGTTGCTAAGAGAGTAGGTCTTAAAAGTTGTCACCACTAGGAGAAAAACATTGTCACTGTGTGAAATGATGAATGTTAATTATGCTTATTGGGTAATCATTTTGCAATGTTTACAAACCTTTATGTTGTATACTTCAAATTATTACAGTGTTAGGTGTTAATTATATGTCAGTAAAACTGGAAAAAATATGTGGCTTAGAACATTTGATTTACACGTAATTCTAAAGCTACTACTCTTTGTTAAAATGTGGGGGTTTTTTTCCCGTGCTAATATTAATCTTTATCACTGTAGCACGGGTTCTCAGTAACCTTACAAGAGTAATTGAGCCTAAGGTAAAATTTACAAATGTAGTTTACGAATAAAATCCTAGGTGATGTGCTACTGTAATACATATTTGTTGCAAAAATGTCTTAAGCTTAATTGTTCTCATTTCACTGTCTTACCTCTTTATTTTAAAGAAATAATTTGTAATTCATTTTGTTCTTATATACCATAGGATGTGTTTTGGAGGTGCAGACAAAATATCTTTGATGAAATGAAGAAGAAATTTTTACAGGTAGACTGCTGATGTAATTGCTTTAGTATGATAATCAGCAGAACAAGTAACAGCATGTTAGTATTTTTATTTAATAACAAGGCATGTCTTAAGTTTTATGCTTGTTTGGCTTATTTTATTTCTACCTGATTTTAATAAGAAGAAAGTCACCTTAAATGAATGTGTCTAGATAGTCCCTTGTTTTTAACATGTGAGTGAGGGAGAAAACATATAAAAACTATACGACCCTTTGTTTTGACTTTCAGATATGGTTGTTGTTTTTTATACAGATATATTTTCATTTTCTGAAGTATTAATAATGCTGGAATGAAATCATTTAATAACTTACAAAGTCAAATCCCAAAAATCTTACTTTAATAATTAAAACTATTACCTTTCCAGCAGCCTGAATGCACTATGAAACTAAACTTTGTGATGTGTAGCGTCCTATTCTAATTTTTACTTAATACCTCATATTCCTCAGGTCCCTTCAACTCTGTAGTTTTCTTCAAGGTGCTTCCTCTGATCTCTTGCCTTCTTTAAGTGATCTATGGCATGAGACCACTTAGGAAAAGATAATATAACATTGTGGAGTTTGATGGATGGGGAGGGGGTAATAGAATGAATTGGAAGGAGGATCTTAAAAATAAAAAAAATTTTTAAATGTAAGTTAGGACTTCCTTCACTGCCCCAGTTATTGTCACTTGCTAAAGTAAAAATGCAAATCTGAATGAGGTTGATAAATTTAACAAATTTCAATCAGCAAAAATAGTCAACATTCCCTAGTTCTCTTTTTAACCTATGGCAGTATTAGCTGTGGATGACCAGAGGGTAATGTGCTAAGACTGATCTTCTTACTCCTAGCAGCTCCTGTATCAAGAAGTAGATGAAATGTTTGTGCATGTGTGTTAAGTTTGCAGCCACAATACTAATCTTTGTAAAAACGCTGAAAAGAAGGAAGTCTTAAAAGAAAATGCATTGACTATTAAATTTAGAGGTAAAGAGGTCCCTTTGTAATGTTTTAAAATTCTTTATATTAGTTTTTTTCTTAGAAAAAAATCTGAAGTTTGGTAATTTGAATTTGGCTTGATATTGTTTTCTGCATGCTAATACCATTCTGAATGTATGCCATCAGTTATACACACTGCCTTTTAAATAAATACCGAGGAAGTGTTTTTTTCTGAAACAAGAATTATGGTGCTAATTTTAGAGAACTCAGATTTGAACTTAAAACTATTAGGAATGCCAGGAAAAGGAGATGACATGACTTAAGAGGTGAACATGCTATCAAGCAGGCTCTGAGATCCCTCAGACAAAACTATCTCATGTCGACCTCTACAGGATGTCCCTAGCAGTGAAACTATATCTTTGTAAGAAAATATACTTAGAGTGCTTTTATCCCACTGTGTTTTACCTGTTATAAATAAGACTGTGGTTTAATCCTTTTTTTCTTTTTTACTCTTTTTTCAAGGATTCTTTCTTCAGACTTTGTTAGGAAATCTAGCTTTGTTTCTGCAGTGAGCATAGATAGGCAGACAGAGCAGTCTCTTAGCATGCACAGTGTTATTGTAACTGCTATTGACTTTCCCCTTATTATCACAAGGGTAATAGTGCTATGAGTTGTCCATAAAATAAATAGTTTTAATTTTATAATTTATGCCTTTTTTATAACTGGCTAGATTTTCTGTGTAGGGAACTCTGTTCTTGCGCAATAGCTCACTTAAGATACATTAAATATTTTCCCAAGTGGAACATGCTTTAGGCTTTTCTAAAACTTTGCATTTATTTTTCTCTTATTTGTTTTCTCTTATTCTTTATGAAACTCTTTGAACTAAAAAATTGTGCTCGCTTCCCTAAATTATGACATATCCTCAGATGTCTTACCTTACTGTTGGGCATAGTATTTAAATGGGCACCCTTCTTCCTACTACCAACACCACCATTACTACATCCTTTCCACCTAGTGCTCAGGTGTGTTTCAATGTGTTTAAATGTATTTTTGTTACCTCTTGCTATGGAACAGTCTAAAACAACTAGTTTATTCATATTTCAGTGGGATGGGATTTGGGCACAGGCTCAGCTGGTTAGTTTCTCTGCTCCATGTAGCATCATCGGGGATCATTATTTCGCTGCATTTAGCTCATGTCTGGCTTTGGATAGAACGTCCAAGATGGCACTCCGGTGTTCCACTAAATGCTTTCTCTCCTTGTGGGTTGTTAGGGCTTCCTTGTAGCATGGTGGTCCCAGGGTAAGTGGAATTTTTTTTTTTTTTTACTCATAAGAGGGAATCTTCTAAGAGGTACAAAAGCAAAAGCTGCTAATTTTTTAAAATCCCACCTTAAATCACACAGTGTCACATCTAGTACATTCTGTTGATCCTAGCTGGTCACTAGACCTGTCCAGATTCATGGGCAAAGGAAAAAGAAAATGAGTGGCAAAGAATTTGTAACTATTTTTCATTTAGCTCAGGGTGATACTGCTTTTCCCTTTGGGCTTAAGTGGAATCAACCAGGTGCAGAGCTCCAAAGAAGAAAGGTAGCTCTGCTATTTTACCAAAAGAAACACCTTTTACATTTAAATGTTTTGTAAATCTGCATGTTTAATATAATATTGTAGAGGGTTTTTTTCTTCTTTTTTTGGAAAACTGTTGTAAAGTTATTGTTATACTTATTGATATCTGAGAATTAAAAAATAATTCTTTTTCTTAGCATTTCCCAGATTGGGGGGATATAAGGGAAGAAAGAGACTTCACATGAGTGTGATTAGTGTTGGCAATAGTGCTATAAAAAATTTAAATATAGTCCATGGATGATAGCCAGATATTAAATTTAAAGTAACAGGCCAGAATGTAGACTATGAAGTAATTAAGATTTATAAGTGACCTTACAGAAGCCTTAGAGCCTTAAAGAAGAGCAGAGCTTTCCACATTTTTGGGTGGAAAGAGAGAAGGTATACGAGTGTGTATACCTTGTGCTGACATATTTGGGGAAAGAACCAGGAATAGCTAATGTTTGGTCATACAGTGTTGCTATATCACTATTCTGATGTATACAGATATATTCTGATGTAAATCAGCACTCCAGATTTCTTAATTCTTTGGTAAGGTAATCTTCCTTGCACCATAAGCTCCAGCCTGAGGTTTGTCTATTTATTTAGTTAATAGTTTTTGATGCAGTGTTCCAAGATTCTTTCTTTATGTACAACACCCAGTATTATCTGAGGTTTTAAAATCTGGCCCTATGGTATTTCATAGCTGGAAATCTTGAATCTACTTCTGAAGTATACTGTTGAAACTATGAAAATGGATCTTCTGTATTTGACATTTATTTTTTCTTAAAGATTTTATTTATTTATTTGACAAGGATCACAAGTAGGCAGAGAGGCAGGCAGAGAGAGGAGGAAGCAGGCTCCATGCTGAGCAGAGAGCCTGATGCGGGGCTTGATCCCAGGACCCTGGGATCATGACCTAAGCCAAAGGCAGAGGCTTTAACCCACTGAGCCACCCAGGCGCCCCTGAAATTTATTTTGAATTGTTCATTCTTTTACTATAAATCAGTTTAAAAAGGCCCACTCTTATGTTTCTCAGTTTAGGATTAAAAGATGTAAAAACAACCGTATGTGTTAATATAACACCTTAGGTTTGTTTTTTTTTTTTAAAGATTTTATTTATTTATTTGACAGAGAGAGGTCACAAGTAGGCAGAGAGGCAAGCAGAGAGAGAGAGAGAGAGAGAGAGAGAGAGAAGCAGGCTCCCCGCTGAGCTGAGAGCCCAATGTGGGACTCTATCCTAGGACCCTGGGATCATGACCTAAGCTGAAAGCAGAGGCTTTAACCCACTGAGCCACTCAGGTGCCCCTGTAACACCTTAAAGTTTTTAGGTGAAGGCTTTTTTCCTCTTTTCTTAGAAGCTTATTAGTAATGTTCTTTTTTATTTTTCTGTTTCTCTAAAAGAAATATATTTTCCTTTTTATTTTTTAGTGGATTTTTGTTTATAATTAAATATTTTGATTTGTCCAAAATACCATGGTAGCCAATCTGTTTTGAACATTACACTTCTTTTGTAGGATTTATTTCTGTTCTAAACTACTTGCATTAACCTTAATTTAAATAATCTCTTGCAAATCCAAAATTATATATAGCAGAAACAAATTATAATTGTATTACTCTACCAAACAAACCAGAAAACCTTGTGGCTATCCTGTCTTCAGCACTAGTCAGTGATAATTATTATTTTAAAATGGGTAATACAGAAGCAACAAAAGGATGGAGTTGATCTTACTGTGAAAGAGAAGGAAAGAAATAAATTATTGCATACAGCACCAGTTTGTACAGGTCATATTTCGGTAAAGCCTATTATGGGGATGGCGAGACATACCCCCAAATCAATGGCTGCTGCACTTCATTTTGAGAGGAAAGAATGAGATTTATAAAATCAGATTTGCATGTTATTCTGGATTGACGGAAGATAAGAAGAGAAAAAGTTAAGCTTCTCCTGAAGGTGTTGTCATAATCTTGTGTAAGATTTTGATTGCTCCAGGCAGAAGTAAGGAGAAAGGGGATGGCTCAAGAAATAATTTTAAAAAGTGGGATTGATAGAATTTGGGGATTATGTGAGGTGAAGAAGAGGAAGGAGATGAGGAAGGTGCCAGAACTCTAGTTTCAGCAGTCAGTGGATAATGGTGCCATTCATAGAGTTTGGCATTATAAGAAAAGGAGGGAAAGAATTTCTTGCATTCAAGTATCTGATGCAGCCTGCTACCACTGTGGAGAATTGAAAAGGAGAGCAGTGTCCTTCAACAGCTTGAAAGGGAAGCCAGATCCTCTCTGAGAAAGTCCCTTTGAAAACTTTTTGTCTTGATAATAAGTTATGTGCTAGATGAAAAAAAAAAAAAGGAGCATTTGTGATCCTAACTTCCATATACATTGGTATTGGAAAAGGTTTTTCCCCTTGTTTTCCTTATCTGCCTCTGCTGGCTGATCTGTTTTAAATAAGCTTGTCAGCTCCTAGCACGTTGATCAATGGGGCCTTTAGACATGTCTGTAGGTATAGTAGTGTAAAGATCAGGAGGCCTTGTTGCTTGTGTCCCTTAGTTAGGGATTTGCAAGTTAAGACAATCCTTACAGTTCCCTTTCTGGTTCTTCAGGAAACCCAGAAATGGTTGATTTGACTGTGCTGGTGTGGTAATGATACATTTTTAAATATCAGATTTTATTACTTTCAACTGAAAATTACTCAAGTATACTGTCTTCTTGGCTTGTTGACCATTGAGTTACAGTCTTAAAAGGCAAAAGCAAATACCCACAAGAATGTTGATTCTTAAATATGCCACAGTTTTTCCAAAACAAACATATATGGTACTTTCTGTGTTTGGCATATCCATTACGTATGTTTCAGACATAAAAAAGCAGTAATACTAGCTAGGAGAAAATAATATTTTGTGGGATATTTTCATATTTAATCATAGAAAATATGGCTAATTATGATTTTGTTTTTCTTTAAAGATAAATGATGTTTGTTTTAATTTCAGATAGAAAATGCTGCTGAAGAACCTAGAGTTTTATGTATAATACAGGATACTACTAATTCAAAGACAGTGAATGAACGGATCACTTTAAATTTACCAGCTTCTACTCCACTCAGGAAGCTCTTTGAAGATGTGGCCAACAAAGTAGGCTACATAAATGGAACCTTTGATTTAGTGTGGGGAAATGGAATCAATACTGCTGATATGGTAAAAACCTTAGACTTAAAGCATGTTTTCTTAAGCTGCTAATAATATCATAGTCATTATTGTTGTTGTTACTAACAAATATATTAAATCCTGGAACCTTTTTTAATATCATAAGGAAAACCATGATAAATAATTTAAGAGCCTGTGTATAACTCAATAATTGGATCCTTCTTCATCCCTTTGCCTTCATTCCTGATTCAGCATTTGCTTATCTTAAAGTCTGTGTAAGGACATTTTATCAGTTTTTTTGCTCATGTAAAAGGACTGGCATGTTGTGTCAACTATGGAAAATTTTCCAACATTTACTTCATAGGATGTTATTCATTGTGTGTGTGTTTGTTTATTTATTTATTTGTGAGGAAGAGTGGGAAAGCATGTGCATGAGTTGGGAGGAGGGCAGTCAGACAGAGGAAGAGAATCTCACGCAGACTCAGTGCAGAGCCCTACATGGGGCTTGAGGTCTTGACCTGAGATCGTAACCTGAGCTGAAATCAAGAGTTACATGCTTAACCGACTGAGCCACCCAGGTGCCCCTATTCATCTTATATCTTTAAGGGAAAAAAGCAGGATATGGAATCATGTGTATTTTATAATCTAAATTTCAGAAAAGAAGAGAAAAATTTATATAGCAAGAAAAAGGAAAGGAAAGATACACACTCATGTTAATAGTGATTATGTACCAGATAGAGTGGTAGGCACCTGATCAAGAAGGTTGGTGGCATCATGACTTTTGAATCAGAGATCTTACAGTCTCCAATTGTAGAAATGATTGTACTGACAAATAATTACATTAATATATTTTAAATACTATATTATAAGTTTGTTCCAAGTGCAAAGAGAAGACATTGATCACTTTTGCACAGGAGAGTGGCAAAGGACACCACTGAGTTGGATCACATCTGCACTATTGTTGTGCAATCAACTATTCCTGAGAATAGTACTGGAAATAGTATTTTTTATTTCCTGTCTCTCTGTCCAAATTACCCTGCATGTTACTGTTAGAATTGTTTCCAGTCATCTTAAATTGTAGCACTTAGGTCACCTTCCAGTTCAGAAACCTTCAATTAGTGCTCTCTGCCCAGAAATTAAGAAATCAGATTCCTGGGGCGCCTGGGTGGCTCAGTCGTTAATCATCTGCCTTAGGCTCAGATCGTGATCCCGGTGTCCTGGGAGCGAGCTCTGCAGTGGGTTCCCTGCTCCACAGGAAGCCGGCTTCTCCCTCTCCCACTACCCCTGCTTGTATTCCCTCTCTCTTTCTCTCTCTCTGTCAAATAAATAAATAAAATCTTAAAAAAAAAAAAATTAGATTCCCTAGGTTAGCAAGCTTGTAGACAAACTACAATGGGTTCTTTAAGACTTTTGTAATCTCAACTCCCAGATACTGGACTAATTTGTTTTCTTATCACAGATTTCCATGCTTTTCTATCTCCATGTTTTTGCTTATATTACCTTTTTATGTCCTGTGTCATTGCTATTCCTAGTTTTCCAGGAAAAATAGCTCTGATGGGAAATAGAATTGAATGTGTTATGTCTGTGATACTTGGAGAGCAGGTTTTAGTTGGGTCTATAGAAGAATCACAGATGTTTGATGTTGCTTAATTTGCCCTTAAAATCCAAGATATTTTGCTTTCTATTCTATAATATATTTACATTTTTAAAATATGGAGCTAATGCTTTACATTAACCAACTTTTTCCCTCTGAAATTGATTAGTAAAATTGGTAGTCCAACAAAATATGCAAAGAGAAATAATATTTAATCTGAAACTTTGAATATTCCTTGTTATATCACCATGTAACTTCTAATGTTGCCTCCTTTTAAAAAGATAGTTCTGTACTGTCATGTATGTCTCCCCAAGTCTTATTTATCTTTTAAGAATCCATAAATGATGTTTCCTCATGCCACTTTAAAAGTAATTTCTTTGTCCCCCAATTGCATTTTTCTTGTTCTGTGCCACTTAGCCTTCTTTTATTATAGTTGTTACTCATTTGTGTCTTTTCCATGTGGTAGAATGCATGTATTTTGGTGGCTGGGACCTCATAGTATTAATTTTGCATTCTCATAGATAGTCTCCCTAGGCATGCCAAAGATGTGTGTTAAATTAACATCTATAGTAGCTTTAAATGGATCTATGTCATGGGGCACCTGGGTGGCTCATTTGGTTAATTGTCTGCTTTTGGCTCATGTCATGATTCCAGGGTCCTGGGATCGAGCCCCACATCAGATTCCCTGCTCAGTGGGGAGTCTGCTTCTCCCTCTCTCTCTGCCCCTCTCCCTGCTCATGCTCAACTAAATAAATAAAATCTTTCAAAAAAATAGCTGTATATCAGGATTACCTATTTCTCTTTCTTTAGCTATGACTGTTCTCAAGTACTTGACTTCTGTATATTTATTTGCTTACTGTATATTTCTGTGAGTATACTTTTACCTGCTTACTGCACAGTGCTACCTGTATGCTTTGTGAAAACATAACCCACTTAGCTACCCACCACCTCATACACTTAGATATATACATTTGTTGAGGAAAAACACCTATGTATTCCTGCTATATTATCTGTTTTTTTATCAGAATGTAAAGGACCCAAACATACCTTTCCTCCCTTGTGACTTCTCTTCGCTTTTGATTTTCTTTTTTCTTTTCTTTTTTAAATTTAAATTTGGTTAATTAACATACAGTATATTATTAGTTAGAGTTCAGTGATTCATCAGTCCTATATAATACCCAGTGGTCATTATATCATGTGCCCCCTTTTTAATGTCTATCATCCAGTTGCCCCCTTCTCCACCTCCCAGCTTCTGATTTTCTATGTCCCATTTTTCACATGGATTTCTAGATGTGAGCCAGTTAAGAGAGATCATATGTTTATTTTATTTACTTAACACTTATTTTAAACTTACTATGTGCTTAGTATTGTTCTTATACGAGGTTCTATATAAGTACAACCTTATTCAGTCCTTAATAACCACTCTGTGAGGTAGGTTCTATTACAGCCTCATGTCACAGGTAAAGAAACTGAGTCATGGGGAAATGGAATTAACTTGCCCAAAGTCACACAGATAGCAAGTGGCAACATCTTTTACAGTTAGGGTTTTTGTTTTTATTTTTTTGTTGTTAGTACTTACACTTTTATATAATGTTAAGTTCTTAAGAAAGGCATTTCTGTAAAATAAGTCCCCTAAGGAGGCATTCCTCATATCTTGGAAGCATTAAAAACATTCTTTAATATAACAAAACAGTTTTAAAGCAAAAGAATGGGGGGTTCATTTCATCTCTCATTTTTCTCAGCAGTGGACTAGCATGTGGGTGAGTCCCTACTGTGGACTTGGAGCATACAGAGCTCCATCTCTCATCCACCAATCAGAGTGTATGAGAATTGAAATTGCCTTACCAGATAAAAAAGAGTTAGGTAAAGACTACGTATCTTAGATGTTTAATTTTCAGAAGAGTGATGATTTCTGTCCTCCTCATAGCCTCTGAATCATGGCAGTGGATTTGAAATAGATTATCATTTACCTAGGACAGGCTGTTCCTTAAGGAGTCTTTCCGAAAGTGCCCATTTTGGTATATTACATAATTGGTTTGGTTGGATTGCTTAGTGTGTTGCTTATTGGCAAATTCTCATATTCATATATCATGCATGTTTTTACAATTATTAGTTATATAAAATTATCTTTAGCTAGTCTTCATTAAAATCCATTATACAGGGGCGCCTGGGTGGCTCAGTGGGTTAAGCCGCTGCCTTCGGCTCAGGTCATGATCTCAGAGTCCTGGGATCGAGCCCCGCATCGGGCTCTCTGCTCAGCAGGGAGCCTGCTTCCTCCTCTCTCTCTGCCTGCCTCTCTGTCTGCTTGTGATCTCTCTCTGTCAAATAAATAAATAAAATCTTTAAAAAAAAAAAAATCCATTATACACTGTATTGAATATATTTTAGAGAACACAAAAACACAGATGTTTATAATTATTTTTTTGTGTAATACGTACACAAAATTTTGTGTAATTTGTGTAATACGTACATAAAAATTTGTGTAATACTTTACCTTTTTTCTCTCCAGTTTTTTTTAGATGTTGGGAAATGTGCACATCTGGATAACTGTCAGTATATGCACTGTCACTGGGCGTAGCCATTCTAATACATGAGTAAATAAGTTAATTCCAAGTCTAGATTAACAGAATTTATCAGAATCTTTATTAAAAAAAAATAGTGTTTGAGCCCAAGAATTATAGATTCATTTATACATTACTTGTTTTATTATTATAATTAATGTTTCTCATAATCTGAGGTATTTTATTTTATGCCCATAGGCTCCACTGGACCATACCAGTGACAAGTCTCTTCTTGATGCTAATTTTGAGCCAGGAAAGAAGAACTTTCTGCATTTGACAGATAAAGATGGTGAACAGCCTCAAATACTACTGGTAAACTATTTAGAAGCCTTGTATTCATAATTTTTGTGTACTGTCATTATTTGGAAGCAGTATTTAAAGGAAAGAGGAGAGATATAATTTGTGATTTATATATAATTATTTTTCTATTTTATGTTGGCTTGTAAGTGTATATGTTAACATGGTAACAGTCGACATCCATAGCACTGTTGCTTTTGTGTACAGTCTGTTTCTGCATTGGGAACAGGTTGCTGTCTTTGAGACTACCACCATAACAGGGCTGGGTAGATCTAGGATAAGTTAAAACACCACAGAGATCTCCTGCCGTGTTTCAGTGGCCTTCCTTTGGTTAGGCATTTGCTTGGTTGTTGTAAATCCTTGGCAGTTTGCCTAGATTTTTCTGTATTATAGGGTAGGGACAGACCCCCAGTTTTGCTTCCCACCCTCCTTTCTGGAATAACTAGTTTTTCAAGTTACATACTTTATTTCTATTCTTTTAGTTTTTCCTCTGTTTGTATTTCAGTGGGCTTTCCTGTTTAGTTCAGTGGCTCTAGAGATTGTGTAATTTCAGGGTCATTCCTAAAAAAGATTGAGAAAACCTGGTCTGATTTACAGACTGTTTACAGGCTGGGGAAACTAAGGCTCACAGAGTTTATGGACTTCTTCAGAACCCTCTCTTCAATGAAACTTCACTCACAAAAGTTCTCATATGTGATGCTTTTCATGTAGAAGTCTATTGTGAATTAGAATACCTGTCTGGACAGTAGGCAATAATTAAACACAGAGCATCCATACTGAAGTAATACCAGAAATTGCTCTTTCTCATCATTTTTTTTGACATCATGAGAAGATTTTGATTGACACTGAAATATAAATTAGGTATTAATTTAGGGAACTCTAGGTCTCTGATATGGGAATTCATGTTATAAAATGCGTAGTAATTACTGTTCAGCTCCGTCTTAATTGGTTATGCTAATTTTATATCCCTAAATCCTTTTTGACATCTTTCTCATTAATAGCAAGTTTTGTACTAGAAACAGTAGGAAACAATCCATCTTATCCAATACTTAAGTTTGCCCTACCTGCCAGGTCTACTTGGCAAGGATGGTGTAAAAATGAATGACAGACCCTGTCATCAAAGAGTTCACAATGGAATTTTCTCTTCCTCTCATATAAACAAAATTTGAAAGAGAATTAAGGGAAATTGGAAAAATAGGAACTTTGAAAGGAAACACGAGCACCTCTCCAAAGTGTTTTACATTGGGTGTCTTTTGAGCCTTCTTGTAGGAAATGGTGAGGGCATACATTCCTTTGAATGTCTTGGTGGTAATAGTAATACCTTGTGTTGTTTTTTTTTTATTGCCTTAGCAATTAGTATGTGGTTTGTTTGTTTGTTTTCATTGTTTCAGCAACATATGCCATTCAGTAAATAATGGTTATGCTGCATTTTAGGAGGATTCCAGTGCTGGGGATGATAGTGTCCATGACCGGTTTATAGGTCCACTTCCAAGAGAAGGTTCTGTGGGCTCTACCAGTGATTATGTCAGCCAAAACTACTCCTATTCATCTATTTTGAATAAATCAGAAACTGGTAAGATTTATTATTACTACTGTGGTGGTTGTATTTTCATAGAATCATAGGGTGTTCGACCCTGAATAATCTGAGAGATCTCAAGGCTGATCACCTCATTTTATGGATTAGAAAACTGAGACCCAGAGCAAGGTCACTAGTTAACAGAAATAGTTAGAACAATAATGTGGGGGGTGCCTGGGTGGCTCAGTGGGTTAAGCCGCTGCCTTTGGCTCAGGTCATGATCTCAGGGTACTGGGATCGAGCCCCACATCGGGCTCTCTGCTCAGCAGGGAGCTTGCTTCCTCTTCTCTCTCTGCCTGCCTCTCTGCCTGCTTGTGATCTCTCTCTGTCAAATAAATAAATAAAATCTTTAAAAAAAAAAAAAAAGAAGAACAATAATGTGGTTTCTCTTTCCCTCAAGTTGTTGTTTTCACTATATAGTTACTGCCAGTATTTAGTAATAAAGTAAAAAATACTGAATATTGTATTTTGAGGGAAGACTCTTCTCTTTGATAATTTTCTATTTTTAATTTATCCTTAAATTTCTGAAGTTGACTTTGTTTGGAAAGGAATGTTTTCATTTTATCTTTCTGGATTAGGATAGACTGTGGAGGATACTTGCATTTTGAAACAGATGGGCCAAGCATATTTTATTAGACCTACTGTGCCATCTTTTAGTTTAATCTAACATAGGTTTGAAATTAATCATACAATTTAAATATTCCTGTTAACTTTTTTCTGAACATTATTAAACCTAGGTGTTTGAATTTTTTCAATTTATTGAGCAGTGAAATTGTTTTATTTATGTAAAGGTTTATTCCTTTACATGTAAGATTGGTTAATTGCCTGAATATAATGTGGTTACTTCTAAATAACATTTGATCTCATAGCAAACTTTTGCAGTCGATAGTATTATTCATATTAAAAGAAGTGGAACCTGGGTTCTGAGAAGCCTTCGATTTCACAGCTGGTACTGCTATGTGCAACTGCAGAACCTCTACTCTTAGAACTTTTAAGTGTTATATGCAGGTATTTAGTATATAAACAAAACTATAACATTACGTTGCAAATTTTGTCCTAATGTGATCTGTGGTCTTATATTTACTGTATTTGTCATTAAAATGTAGATAATTTACTCATAGCTGATCATTTGTACAGGCTTACCACTACATTTGTTTTGGAAATACCAGTAAGGGCTGGCTATATTTGGTATTTAGGATCATTTATATCAATAAAACTTTGTACAGTCAAGTGCCAGGAATAAAAGAGAATGCAGAATTATCTTCTGTTTCAGATAATAGGAGGTAATAAAGCTATTCATTATTATACTGTCTAGAGAAGTGATTCTCAAATTTTTATTTCTTGAAAAATAATTTGGAGATACTTGTTAAAAATGTGGGTTCTGAGGCATTATTTCCCAAAATATTGATTGGATAAATTACATTTTGTTTCAAATAAGCACCCTAGATTATTCTGAGATAGTTGGAATATTTTGAGAAAGTTCCAGGTTTAACAAATCAGGATTCTTGAACTATTTGCTTTGTATCCTGACAACCAATTCAGTCCTTTATGTAGGAGTATTTATAGAATTCCTACTTTGTGGTATATACTCTGTGGCTCTATGATGTCTCTAAATTCCTAGAGACTGACTCATACTTTAAAAAGTTCTTTCTCTGATTATACAAATGTAATACATACTCACTGTCATACTTTAAAATGAAGAAAGTGAAAGTCACTGACAGTAGTACTAACAGAAACTACTTACAGCGGTTTTGCTTATTTCTGTTTTATCTTTGCTCCATATATTTTTTCTTGAGAAAATGGGGTATCACATGTTTTGGGCATTTTTTATTATGCATTTTTTCCTTAATACTATATGATAAGCATTTTTCAATGCTGTTAAATAGTTTTTTAATATAGGGTTTCAAATGACTGAAAAACTATTTCACGTATAGTTTAGCTGTTTAAGCAAATTATTACGGATGTTATGATGAACACTCTTGTACATAAGTTTTTTATTTTTATCTCTGATTATTTCCTTAGGATAAGGAAATACTTAATTACTAAATTGAAATTCATTTAAAACAATTTTTAGAGGTCTTTGTTTTAAATTGCCATTTAATCGTAGCCTTCATTCCTGATAATTGTTTCTCATACACCTCTACTCCACTCCTTTTTCCTACCTGTACAATTTTCTCCAGTTTTCTAGTGGTACTGTCTTTCTGAATTAAAGTAGTCTATAAGTATCCAAAGGAGTTGTGGTTTAAACATAATTTTGTTAGTGACTATTGAATTTGCATTTTCCTTAAATTACTGTGTATCTTGGCACCATGTACAAAATGTTGTCATGATTTTGACTTGGCTCTAAGGAACACATTTCTCCATAATGCTGGAGGTTTGGGGATTTCTTTCCTGTGTCCCTTGCCTACCAAATCCCCCTGGGATAGCCAGCCACTGTTGATAGGAGGTAGTGTAGGGGCGGGTAGGGGTTGGGTATTGTGTATGTGAACATAAAGCAGATTGAAGGCTAATGTGAACTTGCAGGTGATTAGAAACTATGTAACTAGGGTGTTTCCATTATCTGAATCCTTGATAACTATTCTTGGCCAGTTTCTTTAGCAGTTCTTTTATTTTACCAGCTCTAGGAGTTGACCTTTTGCATTCTGCATTCTTGATTTGGCCTAATTGATGGTTACTTCATTACCTGCAGGTTCTGTTTAGGATTTCTTTCCACATGTGCCACTTGCAGAGTGACATGTTTTCACCTTCTTCTCCCTTAGGGGCTCACACTTACAATATTGACTCACAGCTATTTCAGATATAGGACCTGTTTGATAACAGTTGTCATTTGAAGTTCTTTGATTTAATGACTAAAGATTTCTATTACTCAGTAGCACTTTTATTAGTATCACTGAAATCTTCATAGTTTTGGCAAATAGTACCTTTATGTGGAACTCTGTTCATTCTGTGCAGATGTGGTACTAAATCAAGTACACATAACCATAGTTTTTTTCTATATGATTTTTATTTCTAATGAGAAAATAAAGAGCATTGGTAATAATTAAGTGCTCCCTCTTTTTCTTAAACCCTCTTCTACCACCCCCTTTTTTAAGCCCAGGGAAGGGAAACAAGGTCACACATGAATGATACATGATTGGTTTATAGGTATACAAAAGACAGTAATAGCATTCATCCTGATTGTTGAGGGATTGGGGGAAGGAGATGGAGAAGTGGAAATTCCAGGCATTCTCAGCCAAAAAGCCAAAAATTTATAAAGATATAGACCAATAAGCCTGGTCTCGTGGCCAAAACACTATTGTTCTTGTGGAAGAGTCTGTTTAAATGACCTAAGAATGAAATAATGCTTTATTATTAATAATCAGGGCATACACCATGGAGATTTGCATTACCTGTATGTCATATGCATTTTCCCCTTAAGTGCACCTGCTGCTGTGCTAAGTAGTAGAGCAATAAATCAGATTTGATCCCTCCACTCACAGTCTGATGGGGAAGACACGTAAGTAAATAGGTCTTTACAGAACAGTGAGCTGAAGGCTCCAATATGGATTAAGGACAGGGTGCCAAGGAACAACTCAGGAGGGGGATGGTTAGGTGTTGTCAGAGTTTATAATTCTATAACAATGTGTACAGCAGAATAGACACAGTAGGTTTTTTAGATTTTTTTTTTTTTGAGAGGGAGAGAATCTTAAGCAGGCTCCATGCCCAGTGTGGAACCCGATGCAGGGCTCCATCTCACAATCCTGAGATCGTGACCTATGCCAAAAGCAAAAGTTGGACACTTAACTGACTAAGTCACCCAGGTGCCCTGATAAACACAGTATTAAATATGAAAGGCATTAGAAATTAAAACTTGAACCTTAGTCCTAAGTGAAAAGTGGGGGTAGGTACTTGATCTCTTCTTAGAACCATACAGATAACATGGAATCTGTTCCTTTTTTCCACAACTGACCAAGGCTTATCATGCATACTTGTCCTTTCATTACTCTTGGCAATAGAGTTATCTGTGGAGTCTAGCATTTCTCAAGACATTTTGATAATTGGGGAATTGAGAAAAGTATTTTGAAAAGCTTCAGTGAACACCTTCAGCATCTGTTGAGAAAAGATTTAAGGCTTTTTTTGGGGGGGAAGGGTACCCAAGTCATTCAGTATTAAGTGGGAGTATATAAGTTTAATTATTACGCAGTGTTTACCACATTTTGCTCATGTCATGCGGTATAACTAAAATGATGAGACTGATTTGTTTGGTGTATGTGTGTCTCATAAACTGGGCCTGAAATCTACTTCAAAAGAGAAATTCCAAAAATGTTCTCAACAGTGGTAGCCATATCCAATCAGATATATAAAGCTAAGTAATTTTAATCATTGAATTTTAAGTTCCTATAAGCTTCTCCTTTTTTCCTTCCTCCCTACCCCACTCCCTCTCTCTATTCTTCCCTATTTCTGATTTCTCTTACTTTATAGTCACTCTTTGCATAGTGTGCTGATGTTTAGAATCTCATACTTCATGGGCTTATTAAAATAGAGGAAGTCATTCTGAGTTTTATATGATGAATTTATCTCATGTTATTAATTCTTGGCATGAATTGGTTTATAGACCCTGATAGCATGGGTAGCTGGTTCAGTTCGGTTTTGGGTATGTGATAAGTAAAGCAAATGTGTTTATACCTTTCCATTTTAATTAACAGTGTATCAATTTGGGGAACAAAGATTATTTTTAAATCAAGCAAACATACTATATTGAAATACTCCTCTTTAAATTTTACTAAATGCTATATAATATCCGTGCATATCTCTGGACATTTAACCAAATATACTCACTTTTTCTGAGAAACAAGGTTTACATACTACACATTTTAGAAAAAGGGGTCTTTCTTACTGCTTTTGAAGAAACTAAAATAATTTCCAAGTAACCTTAACCTCTCAATTTTTACTGTGCATTAAATTCTTAATAAGTTTTCTTTTTGTTATTTTAATGTAAATGCTGATTTTGTATGTATTTGTGTTTTGTTTTTAAAGGATACGTGGGATTAGTAAACCAAGCAATGACTTGCTATTTGAATAGCCTTTTGCAGACACTTTTTATGACTCCTGAATTTAGGAATGCATTATATAAGTGAGTATTCAAAAAAAATTTATAAATAAAATTGATTTAAGAACGAAAGTATAGGGGCACCTGGGTGGCTCAGTGGGTTGGGCCTCTGCCTCCTGCCATGGTCTCAGGGTCCTGGGATCAAGCTCCGCATCAGGCTCTCTGCTCAGCACGGCACCTGCTTCCACCTCTCTCTCTGCCTGCCTCTGCCTACTTGTGATCTCTCTCTTTGTCAAATAAATAAATAAAATCTTAAAAAAAAATAAAGTATAGGTTTTAACTAATCTAATTTACCTTCTTGTATCTATTTATTTATGGGTATTTCTCACTTCATAAGACATCTTGAATAGTATGTAAGAAAAAGATCTTATAAGAGACTGACATACGAAAAATTTGTAGAGAGAACCAGAAGTGCATAGACCAGCAAAAGATAAAATTAGTAAGATTTACAGTTGGGATTACTTACTGTATTAAAGCTTTCACTCACTTACAGCTTTAACATCTTTATAAAGCAATATGTTACCTGCTTTCTGAGATAATCTCAATATATGAACCATATTCTTTCCTTTCACTTCTTAATTTAAGAAACAAAGTTGTCTTTTTAAACTTAGTTTCTAATTAAAATGTAATGCAGCTTTCCTTTGGGGGTGTGTGTGTGTGTGTGTGTGTGTGTGTGTGTGTGTGTAAGTGTCTATGTGTGTAAAAGATGGCATATATATATACCAGGTACTTTAAAATGCTCTATGAAGGAAATCCATATTTAACTAAACCCTAAAAGTCAGTTATTTTTATGAATATCTTACTGTATTACATTTAATACACTCTTGTTTTGTATGTTTTCTTTAAGGTATGCATAACTTATTTTTTAAAGACATTTTAAAGTACACATTAACTGATTTTTCCTTTTTTGTGTGTTACTCTTGAATAACATCCTTGAAATTACTGTGAATATGTATTTAAAGTGTTTTTGGAACTTTGAATATTGGTTGTGTTGCTCAAACAACATTATATTATCAGCCCATTCATATGGAAGCTCATCATCCAAATTTACTTGTGAACGTAGACATTATAATGAATCCCCTTGTACCCATCACCCAGCTTTTGAATATTATCAACTCATGATCAGTCCTTTTTATCTAATATCCTCTATTCTAATTATTTGGAAGCACACTCCCATTGAATCATCTATAAATATATCTCAGATCAGGGCTAATAAGGTTTCCCTGATTGCCTCATTTTTTTTTTTTAAACAATCTGTTCAAATCAGGAACCACACAGGAGCCGTACAGTGCAACTGACTGATAACATTCTTAATCTACTTAACCTATTTTTAATTCCCTTCCATCTTTTTTCCCCTTGCAATTAATTCCTTGAAAATACATATATTGGGGGCACCTGGGTGGCTCAGTGGGTTAAATAAAGCCTCTGTCTTCGGCTCAAGTCATGATCTCAGGGTCCTGGAATCGAGCCCCACGTGGGACTATCTTCTCAGCAGGGAGCCTGCTTCCTCCTCTCTCTCTGCCTGCCTCTCTGCCTACTTGTGATCCCTCTCTGTCAAATAAATCTTTTAAAATTTTTTAAAAATCTTTTAAAAAAAATGAAAATACATATATTGAAAACTGACATCCTTTCTCCTGCAGTTTTTTTGGATTTTGATACTTGAATGCTATAGTGTCATTTACTATTGTTCTGTTACCTCTATTTTTATGAATTAATAATTAGGACAAGAGTCTTGATCAAATTCAAATTCTTTGATTACTTTTATTTTTTTTTTTAAAGATTTTATTTATTTATTTGACAGACAGAGATCACAAGTAGGCAGAGAGACAGGCAGAGAGAGAGGCAGAGAGAGAGGAAGGGAAGCAGGCTCCCGGCCAAGCAGAGAGCCCAATGGGGGGCTCGATCCCAGGACCCTGGGATCATGACCTGAGCCGAAGGCAGAGGCTTTAACCCACTGAGCCACCCAGGCGCCCCGCAAATTCTTTGATTACTTTTAGATGAGCTTTGCCTTTCATTAGTGTTGAATGCCTTTTCTTGTTAAAGTCTAAAATTCTTCTGAATTTATGAATTAGGGAAGGACTACTCTTTTATTAAATAATTGCTTCAGTTAATATCCAAATCCTGTATAACCCCAGAGTTAAGGTCTTAACATTATTATGATGTTAATATTAATGCTGCCTTAAAGAATAAAAATATTTTATGAATAATTTTCATATTATTTCAATTTTATTTTAATAGGTGGGAATTTGAAGAATCTGAAGAAGACCCAGTGACAAGTATCCCATACCAACTCCAAAGGCTTTTTGTTTTGTTACAGACCAGCAAAAAGAGAGCAATTGAAACCACAGATGTTACAAGGAGCTTTGGATGGGATAGTAGTGAGGGTACTAATTCTCTTATAATGATTAGTGTTTCTAATATTCAAAGGAATTCTGGGAGACAGTATTATAAACAAAATATATTAATAGCTTAATTAACTTTACCATAAACCTTCTCATTGCCTTTTGCTTAGATTTAAAAATAATTTATTTTTTAAACTTAAGCACCAGGGGTAAATTTTTGATCAACTAAAATTTTCTTGTAAAGTAAGTTTGGTTAAATTATTTTTGTGTACTTAAATTAAAATTTTTAGTTTGTTGTTCTAGATTTTTCTTAACATATTTCTTAACTCTATAGTGAAACATAACAAAAATAACAAATAATAGCATCATAAAGCATATGTTACTTATAAAATACTAAGATTGCTTGATCTTTTCCTTGTGATTACCTTTTCATGACTGTAATGTATAGTGTGTGTTCTTTTTTAAATTTAGAATTATTTTGTGTAGACTTTTTCATGTTTTTGACAATTTGCTTTTAAACAACAAATTAATGTTTCATTACACTTAATGTATTGCTGTTTTTAATTAAATTTTATCTTAAAATAGCTTGGCAGCAGCATGATGTACAAGAACTGTGCAGAGTCATGTTTGATGCTTTGGAACAGAAATGGAAACAAACAGAACAGGTAATTGATCTCAGATTGAAGGGAATGTTTTATAATAAATCATTCATAAGTAACTTTTATTCTTTTGAAATGTTTTAAAACTCTGGCATTCAGTTGTTAAAGTACTGAATGGGGAATTGAAAGTACTAGGTTCCCTTGGGGCGCCTGGGTGGCTCAGTGGGTTAAAGCCTCTGCCTTCGGCTCAGGTCGTGCGTGATCCCAGGGTCCTGGGATCGAGCCCCGCATCGGGCTCTCTGCTCAGCAGGGAGCCTGCATCCTCCTCTCTCTCTGTCTGTTTCTCTGCCTACTTGTGATCTCTGTCTGTCAAATAAATAAATAAAATCTTTAAAAAAAAAAAAAAAGGGCGCCTGGGTGGCTCAGGGGATTAAGCCTCTGCCTTCGGCTCAGGTCATGATCTCAGGGTCCTGGGATCGAGTCCCGCATCAGGCTCTCTGCTCAGCAGGGAGCCTGCTTCTCCCTCTCTCTGCCTGCCTCTCTGCCTACTTGTGATCTCTGTCTGTCGAATAAATAAATAAAATCTTAAAAAAAAAAAAAGAAAGTACTAGGTTCTCAGTTGGCCATTAACTGAGTCATACAGATCCTCATTAAACCATGCTAGACCTCAGTTTCCTCATCTTTAAAATAAGGAAGTTGGTTTCTATGGTTTAGATGGTCTCTTTTTAATTGAAAACTGTATAATTCATATATAAATATATATATAATGTGTATGTGTGATTTGGGGGGATGATTTTTGAACAGTATTTTCAGATATTTACCAAGTAAATTACAGGTATTATAATCTATAGCAGATTAAGTATAGTTGAATATTACCTTCATTTTGACCAAGGAGATATGCTTTTGACATTTAGGATTCCTATTAATCTGACTTTGTTCTTTTTCCCATAGGAAAAGAGCAGGTTAGAATTGGGAAGAGCATTCAATATATCATTGTGGGATGGAGAGTAAGGCTTAACTGGGTGGGTCTGAGAACTCAGTAAAGAGGAGGGTTTATAGTGGCTCTAATGATAAGGATGGGGTTGGAATCACAGGCATAAAAAAGGAGGAAGAATCTGGAAGATAGCCTAGAGAGTCTGCTCTCGGATTGGAATTATGATGATGGCTTGGGCCAGAGTTTTCAAACTGTAGGTTGTCATCCATTCGTATGTTATGAAATCAGTTTAGTCAGTCTATATCAGCACTTAAAAAAAATGGAATAGTATAGGAAAGTATAAGAGAATAGCACAAAAGTAAGGGTATTATTTTGTGCTAATTTTTTTATAGTTGGATATACTGTGTTGAGATACACATTATTTTCTTACTGGGTTGTTACCAGATCTGTTTAAAAAATACTGCTTTGAACCACTTAAAAATGCCCCCTTATGGGGTGCCTTGGTGGCTCAGTCGTTAAGCATCTGCCTTTGGCTCAGGTCATGATCCCAGGGTCCTGGGATCAAGCCCCGCATCAGGCTCCCTATTCGGTGGGAAGCCTGCTTCTCCCTCTCCCGCTCCTCCTGCTTGTGTTCCCTCTCTTGCTGTGTCTCTCTCTATCAAATAAATAAATAAAATCTTAAAATAAAAAAAAAAGAAATGCCCTCTAAGATGCAGAAGATATAATCAAATATGATGGAAGCAGATGAATGAAGAAGGCTTCATTAAATAAATGGCGGTAGTATAGACAATGACGATGGATCTTAGTTTGAAGGCTTATAAGCCCTAGAAAGTTCAAGAGAGAGAAATTTATGAAAGGTAAATTGTAATACACTTTACTTCTTTTCCATTCTTACTTAAGAGATCTTGAAAAAAAAATTAAGTTTACTTAGTAACTTTATGTATATGGTATTAGGGGCTATTCCTTCATAGGTCTGAAGTTACTCTTACCCTTTTTATGTCCCTCTTTGGGTCAACAATTCCACTGAAAGATCCAACTGGGGCATTCCTTTTGCATTCCCAAATTTTGGTAAAAGAAATTTGAGGTGAGACATTCACTTGGAGGGTCCTTACTAAAGGAATTACCTATCTTTTTTGGGACAGAAGCCCAAGTTTGCTAAGTTTGGGGACTTAGTGAGAGATCCATTCTTTTAAATGAGGATATTTTGATGGAGATAGAATTTTTTAAAAATGTCTATACCTTTTTAAAGAAAATTTGCAGTATAATGTTTCCCCTTAAAATTGTTTTATGTCTATTACTGAAAGTTAAAAAGTTTTATTTGCACCTTGAGCTAGAAGATAGGATTATAGGAATCAGAATATAGTATTGTGAGAGTAGTGGTATGCATGTATAAAGCTATAAAACTAGCTGGTTAGTTAGTTATGTAATTATCAACATGCCTAAAGTGATAGATGAAATGTATTCTCAACCTAATGAAAAGATAATATGAAGCTTAATAGTATAATAGTATAATAAATCGATTTCAACAAACCATTTTATTAGTGGGGTTTTTAGTGATAAGAGAATTGAACTAGTTAATTTTTGTACATTGATTCTTAAATTAGTATTAATCTAATTTTTTTGATGTTTAATTTTTGTCAAGCCTTCATTTTTAAAATAGAATTTTAGATAAATCTTAAAGCTTTCTAAAACTTAAGCAGTAAAGAATGAGTAGCCTTTGAAACTTATCTTTAAAAGCAGGAATTATTGTGTTTTTGTGTATTTTAAAAATAATTTTTAAGGAACACTTTTTAATATTCTTATTTTTAGGCTGATCTTATAAATGAACTATATCAAGGCAAGCTGAAGGACTACGTGAGGTGTCTGGAATGTGGTTATGAGGGCTGGAGAATCGACACGTACCTTGATATTCCGTTGGTCATCCGGCCTTATGGGTCCAGTCAAGCATTTGCTAGTGTGGTGTGTACCTTTCAGCTGACTGCTTGTGTATCCCTACACAGAATACATAATAGCACAGTGGTATAATCTGTTGTAAGGTAAGTATCATCCTAGATACACCTTCTTGGGTTGTTAGTAATTCCTGCACTTAAACTAGCAAGATCTAGAAGATTTTTGACCCTTCAGTGAGTCCTAATAGTGCATGTATAAAAGGGAAATTGAATGCAAATGTACTGCTTCATGGTTCAGAATTTTATTCTCTCTGATAGATGACTAGATTGTTTCACTTTATCCTTTTTTTTTCTTCTAACCTCTAAAGAGTCCGTTTTATAAATACTCTTTTGTGACCATTTTTTGTATTGGAAAATACTTTTTGTTTTGTGTATATTCCATATATATATATATTTTAAAGATTTTATTTATTAGCACATGAGAAGGGGGTTGAGGGGACAGAGGGAGAGGGAGAAGCAGACTCCCCACCAAGCAAGGAGCCCAACGAGGGGCTTGATCACAGAACTCTGAGATCATGACCTGAGCCAAAGGCAGACACTTAACTGACAGCCGCCCGGATGTCCTGTTTCATATATTTTTTATTTTTATTTTTTTCAAAGATTTTATTTATTTATTTGACAGAGATCACAAGTAGGCAGAGAGGCAGGCAGAAAGGGGGGATGGTGGGCACAGAGAGAAGCAGGCTCCCCTCTGAGCAGAAAGCCCAATATGGGACTTGATCCCAGGACCCTAGGATCATGACCCAAGCCGAAGGCAGCGGCTTAACCCACTGAGCCACCCAGGAGCCCCATCATATATTTTTTAAATTGGAAAAATAACCTCTGGTTTTTAGGATAAACAGGCCACATTTTTTAAAGGAACATCCTTATTCTAAAATTTAATTTAAAAACCATGCATCATAGAAGTACAGTAATTTGAAGAATCTGATATAAATTAGTTAATTGATTAATTAAAAATAAGCTTAATTATATACTGAGAATACAACTGGGAGATTAAGGTTTTCTCATTGTCTTATCCATTCTTCAATTGGTTTTTGATCATTTTGTTGTTGCATTTTATTGTATTTACTGATACAAAAGGAGAGCCATGGAGAAAGTTGATTTTGAAAATTACAGTGTTCAGAAACATTTATTCTGAATTTATTATGAGCCAGGGGACACTTTCAGGGCTATATTGTTTTGGGCCTCATTTATGTTGTTACCAAGCTGATGCTGGCTTGTAGCTGAAATCAGTGATTTTAAAGCTACTCCACACTTTATCCTCTGTAATAGTGCTTCCAAGATGGTTTGGTCCTCTGGCCCCTCGGACAGTTGTTTCCCTTTGCTTTTCTCTGTACTTTCATATGACTTTCAAGAAGTAATTGATAAGAAGTTATGGAATCAGTCGGTGGGAATCCAAGTAGAAGACCTTTTTTTTTTTTTTTTAATTGTTTAAGGTAGGAGGGGCATATTAAAAAATTATTAACATTTGTCTTTCAATGACTTATTTCCTAACTCTTTTTTTTTTTTTAATTTATTTGACAGACAGAGATCACAAGTAGGCAGAGAGGCAGGCAGAGAGAGAGGGAAGTAGGCTTCCCGCTGAGCAGAGAGCCTGATGTGGAGCTCAATCCCAGGAGTCTGAGATCATGACCTGAGCTGAAGGCAGAGGCTTTAACCCACTGAGCCACCCAGGTGCCCCTTCCTAACTCATTTTTAAATATTGCCACCACTTCTTCTTCTTCTTCTTCTTTTTTTTTTAAGATTTTATTTATTTATTTGACACACACAGCGAGAGAGGGAACACAACAGGGGAAGTGGTAGAGGGAGAAGCAGGCTTCCCGCTGAGCAGGGAACAGGACTCGAGGCTGGATCCCAGGACCCTGGGATCATGACCTGAACCGAAGGCAGACGCTTAATGACTGAGCCACCCAGGTGCCCCTAAATATTGGCACTTCTTTAGCAAAATACACTAGGGAAATATTTGGTAGTCCCAGATGATAAAGATGATGTTTTCTGCTTTGGTTATGAAAGTATTTTTTATGAAAGCTTTTTCATGTATACATTCAGTTTAATGTTTTTACGTATTAATTGAGTGTTGAGGAGGCTAATGTTATTTGTTTTGTTTTGTTGGGATACTGTATTTGAGTAATCAAGTCCAGTTGCTTAGCTAAATCTTTGTGTCCTCATTTTCTCGCCTGCTGAATTACCACCACTCTCTCAACTACATTATAGATTCAGCAGTGAGGCACTTTGGAGGATACTTCTGGAGAAGTGAAAAAAGACACATTTCCAAATGGAGTTCTCCAAAGGTGGTGTCCTCCACTGATACATGAATGGTGGTGGTAGTGATGGTGGTGGTGATTCAGTGGGAATTGGAGGTTACAGCTATGACGCAGTATGTAAGCAAGTTTATATAACACACATGCGCTAATAGGGCTTGCAGAAGGGCACTTAAAACTTGCTAGACTTTGCTGGAATCTCTTTGGGGAAATTACAGCAGGTGAACTACCCAAGATAGGGGTTCTAAGGAGGATACTACCTTCAGAGAACTTTAGTTAGAGGTAAGTGAATTCCCATTATTTTCTGAATTCTAAACCTATAACCTTCGTTTCTTAATCTACAGAAATCATCACACAACATCTAAAATTAGTTTTATATCACTGCTTGCCATTGTGTATTTTGTTAATTCTGTGTGTTTTAAAAAGAATTAAGTATAAATGTGGATTATAAAAATCTGGTTGAATATCATTCAGACTACATATAATATTTTGCTTAATTTGACTTGAACTCTTTTAAAATTTATTTTCCTACTTTTATTCATGGACTCTGGTATATTTGTCTTACTGGATATGCGCACACACATAAACACATGTACGTACCTACACATGCAACACTGATAATTCTGTGTTCAATTTACTATGCATTCTTTCAGTGAGCCACAATATAATAGATATGTGTATATAGTGAGGTTAACACATGATGCTTAATTTCAGGCAATTAAGTGCAAGGTTCTATTAAAAATTAAAGTTTTATTAACCTTCATCTGCAACATCCAATTTCTAGACTTGTTTTATCTTTGTGTTCAAATAAATTAACTTGAGTAATATTTAAGCTTAAAATACGAATGGAAATAGCATTTAGCTAATTTGTCAGTATGACATTTGTAATAAATGTTTATGGTCATCTTTCAGCATGACTGATAGCAGACTGCTTTTTTAATGAGTGCTAGGAATCGCCTACAGTTTTTAAAAAAGCTTTTCATAATTTGTTCATTGAATTATTTTTTAGTCATTATAGCTATGCTGATTATTAAATTTCTGGTCTTCATTTTACCTGGCCATGTAGGGGATCAGTGTTTAAGGGCTCTTTTGGCACCCTCTTACCTCTCAGACTGATTTCTATTTAACACTCATCTCCAACAGGATTTAATAGAAGGTTAAGAGAAGGCTTCTTTGATTAAATTTGGGAAACAGTGCAACTGTAATCCTCTTTGGGAAATTCGCTATGCATATTTTATTTTAAATGCCCTGAGGATTCCTGTAGTAGAGAAATTTCCTTAACTATGCTTAACCTAACATTTTTTTTCCTCTGGGATATTTGTGACTATTTTAAGGGATACTAGGATTCTGAGGAACTATTGTGGAAAGCTCTGCACTAGAATAGGTGATTTAAGGATTATCTCTACTTTGTTACATAACTGTTTATGTCCTTGGGAGGTTGAGGGTGAGTGACAATACTAAATCATGTGTTATAATTTACTCTTGTTTTACATATCTCCTTAATCCTGAAAAATTAATGTCGGCTGAAAAATTCCTTTTAGTGACCTTTAAAAAAAATTGTTCCTAATGATTTGTGAGGTAACTGGAACCTTTTATTTTCATTGATTAGAGCTGTCTAAACCAATCTCTCTGAATTTCATGATCAAAGAAACCTTGACTCTGCTTATTGCCAACCACATTTGAGAATATATTTTTATAATGCGATAGTTTTAAATACATGCTAGCGATACATAAAAAGTAGAAGTATAATTTTTATCGGTTAACTATGAAAGCATATTTCACAAATTAAAAATAGTATAACTCACATTTGGCATTAACTAAGGAAGAGCTTTTCTATTTATCCGTAAATTTTAGACACTATCTTTTTATTACTATCTTTTGTTATATAACATACTTATTGAGTTGCCTACTTTGTGCAGTGGACACTGTAATAGACCATTTTTTCTTAGTATATTTTTCATTCTATTAGGTAAGTACATTTAAATATCTTTATTATCACAAAATGTGTTCAAAAGTCTGAAATTGGGTTTAGCTATTTCATTCCATTTAGTGTCTTTAGAAAAAACAGATTATATGAAATACATCTGTTCCCTAAGTAAACATGGTTTAATGATTATTTTAAAGTTTTAAATGAAAAATTGTTTAATTCATAAGTCTTTGTGAAATCATAAGCATTTCAAGTATTTGGTATGCACAAGTTTATATCATAGGTTCTACCCTGAATTAACAGATAACTTGGACATTCTTAAACGTCCGGCTTAGCCACATAATTCATTTGGATGGTGGAGTGGTCTATATTTGTCCAAATACGTAAGCATCACGTAAAGAAAGATCTCTTCCACAGACTCTACCCTCATTTTTCCAGGAATTTATATGGTTGGACATAGTGGGAACCAGTTTAAAAAGTGGGGACTTCTGCTTTCAGGAAGATGGAGTAGATGTACATTGCCCCATTCCTCCTGCTAAAACAACTGAAAGTTGAACATTATATATATAATAAAACATAAGAAGACTCTGAAAGGTGGAGAAAAGGCATAAAGACTAGGGATCTCAGGACTCAAGGAATGACATGGGGTGAGTTCCCTGGGTTTTCTTTTTGCCTAATGTAGCCCAAACTTAGAGCTGAAGAAGCTGGAAATAGCAACAGGCATAGACTGAAAAACCTGATGTCTCCAGCCAAAAGACCAGGAAAGGGACAGCCTAGCAGGGCAGAAAACTTTCAGATGTTATCCATTCCATTCTAGCCAAA